GCCATTCCAAAACGAAAAGAGGGACAGAAAGGAATGGGACCAAAGCAAGACTTAAACTCAGCAGGGCAAACATTAAATCCCTTAATTTCATGTCCAGTACCCAGGAACAATGTGATAGGATGCAACTACAAACAGGTTGGGTGGCCCCACCCCAGTGGCACTGCTGGTGGTGGTAGCTCTCATGGCTTCTCTCTTGGGCTGGCTTTGCTCACTGCTTGCAGTTTTCCTCAGATGATCCATGTTTGTGGCTTCTCCAATCTTCTGGGGTCTTCAATGAACCTTTGGCTTTACACTCACAGCTTTACACACTGCCCTATTAGGGGCACACTGCCTACCCTCCCAGCTCTTCTAATATCTGGGTGGAAGCCTTCCTGGCCCCACAACACTTACACTGCATGAGCATAAAACCAGCACCACATAGATGTTGCCGAGGCCTGTTTCCAGTTCTAGCAGTGTCCAGGCCTCCTTGGATTGCAGCTGCAAGAGTCTGCCAGGATAGCTGAGCACTGTGATAGGAATCCCAGGAAGCCAATTTCCTAGGCAGTAGTTCCCTGGGGCTCTCTTCTTAAAGCAAAGTCTTTCACTTTTGCAATTCTGAGTCTGGATAAGTCTGTCCTGTGACATCCTCCAGCCATATTTTCTGCTGTCCTGCTGTGAAGTACTTGGCTTCTTTATAATGCTAATCTAGCAACCAAGCTTTCCTCTGCTCCATTTTTGCAGATCCCAATTTCATCAGAGTGACCCAAATCCTTTTGTCTAGGACTATAATCTACTCAGAATTCAAAATATATCTCTGTGTACAGTATAAAGGACTATAATCTACTCAGGACTATAATCTACTCAGAATTCAAAATATATCTCTGTGCACAGAGCTTCCTTTCTGGCAAACTCAAAACATTTTAAATCATTCAGCTGTGCCTTTTGTGTACAGCTGGCTAAAAGCTCCCAACATTAGCCATGTTGTGGTGTCAACAATAGACCACCTTGAAATTTCCTCCACCACATTAATTAGTCTGCTGCCCTTATCTCGGGCTCCCAAAAAGTCTCAGGACATGATCCTGAGGCAAATTTCCTGCCAGAGCATAACACACATGGGCAGGAGTCTAGCTGCCAATGGAGTCCTTCTCAATTGAAACCTCCTGAGCCTGGTCTTTTCAGCTGCATTACAGTCAGCGTTCTGGTCCTCTGAGCTCTGATCAGAAGCTCCCATCAAATTCGACCCATGGCATTTCAGTGCTGCTTCTCCAGTTGACATCTCCAAACCTTTCCAAACTCTCCCATGAAAAGTTCGTTCCAAAGGCTTCTGAACCACGTGATTAGGTACAATCACAGCAATGACTCCACCTCTCTGGTACCGAAATCTGTCTTAGTTATTTCCCTTATTGATAGGAGAAAATACCCAATACCCATTACTTAAAGAAGAAAAGGTTTATTTTAGCTTAGTCTGTAGAGGTTTCAGTCCATAGTTGGCTGGCTCCAAGGCAGGACAACATGGCTCAGAGGCCTGACAGTGGAAGACTGTTCCTGTTACGGCAGTGGGGAAGCAGAGGTGGGCAAGCAGAGAGAATATGCGAAGCAAGGAGCAGGGAAGAGATAAATCCTTCCAGGCCACACCCCCAGCAAACTGCCCCTCCTACCAGACCCTACCTCCTGACAGCATATCAGCCATGAGCCCTATGGCCCAACTGCCTTCCAAAGATTCTGTCTATGAGTGTGTGCAGCATTGGGGAATAGCTACATATAAACCACAACAGGTAACTGCTATCCTGAATTTTGGTAAATCTTGCCTTTTCAATTTATTGTTTTTGTCATATATTATCTATTCCTGGTTTTGTAAGGTTTTTATTGTTTGCGGTTTACTGAACTTATTTAATATGAAGGCTTATAGTCTTAATAAAAGTTTTAAAAATTTAAAAAGCAACTACAAATAGTCACATACATACAAGATTTTGTATGGGCATAAAATTTCATTTCTTTTTAGTAGATATGGATGGGTACAACTGCTTAAATTTATATTTCACTTTTTAAGAAACTGCCAAAATTTTCTAAAGTGGCTGGATCATCTTTTTATTCCTGCTAGCAAAGTATGAGAGTTTTAGTTTCTACATATTAGTCAGCACTTAGTATTGTGAATCTTTTTGATGACTGCAATGGTATCTCTTTGTGGCTTTAATTTGAGTATTCCTAAAAGCTAATGGTGCTGAACGTAGTTTCATGCATTTATTGACTTCTGTATATGTTCTATAGTGAAATACGTTCTAGGGGCCATCCTCTTAAGGTCCATCTGGGTCTAATAATTAACATAATTAGATTAATAACAACAAGAAATGCACTATACAAGTTTATCCCATGACATGTGAGCCCAAAGAAGCAATCAGAGTCAATTACTTATATACTGGATTGGACAAGGAATAGTAAACTGTGAAAATGTGACTAAATTATATGAGGAGGTTTAAAAGTTATGTTAATAATAACAGAATTCTCTTGGTCTTGACTTCTCATCCTTGTAGATATGGATGTTGCCTTTCCTTGTAGCAGGAGAGAGTCTTGTCCATGAGATTTTCATTTGCTTTTAAGGAAAAGCATGAAGATCACTGATCTTTTTGCAACTGCTATTTCTTAAGTGCTTTTACCTTAAACAGTCAACCCGCCAAAATAGCAAATTTTAATTTCCTCCATTTGAATACTCTGCCCATTTTTAAAGATTTTCAGTTTTAAGAGCACTTTCAGGGGCTGGGGATTTAGCTCAGCGGCAAAAGCGCCTGCCTGGCAAGCGCAAGGTCGTGAGTTCGGTTCCCGGTACCGGAGAAAAACCAAAAAAAAAAAGAGCACTTTCAATCTCCAAGATACAAATTCTCTGTAGATAGATGTATTACAAATATTTTCTAACAATTTGTGACTTGCCTTTTCATATAGTGAACATTATTATGTGACGTGCAAAAGTTTTAGTGTTGATGATGTCCAATTTCTCAACTTTTTCTTTTATAGTGTTTATTTTTATATTCTTTTGCGGGGGGGGGGGGTAGCAGGAATCTAACTCAGGACCTTGCACTTGCCAGGCAGACCAGGCATTTGCCACTGAGCTATGTCCCCGGCCCTACTTTCTATATTCTATCTTTGCCTAACTCAGTTTCACAAAGGTTTTCTCCTGTTTTCATTTGGAATTTTTGGTTTTATTTAGCTCTTTTGTCTAGGACTATAATCTACTCAGAATTCAAAATATATCTCTGTGTACAGTATAAAGGATTATGATTTTTTTCTCAGAGATACTCAGTTATTTTCACACATTTTATTTAAAGATCACCCTTTCATTTCCCCCATTACCTTGGCAAGTTTGTAAAAAAAAAAAAAAAAATCAAGTGAACACATAAATATGGGTTTAGCTGTTTTGCATTGTAAGATGTTTACACTCATCTGAGGGACTAAGTACATGTGCTTAACATACCTGGATTCTTTTTATCCCCCTTCCCCTCCACACCCACCCCCTCCCTCCATCTCCAGGTCCCCTTCCCATTTTCATCATCATCATTATTGTCATTGTTATTCAGTTCATGTTTGTGACACACAAATGGTACATTTAGTGTGAGCAGCTGGTACACAAACATGGTGCATCATATATCTTTTTAAGTCCCCTCCCCTACCAGCTTCTTGGTCCCCTTCCCATTTGAAAAGATGTATCACTCTGTTCTTTAAAATCAATCTTTTATTTTTCTCTTTGTTTGTATTTTGGATTAAAGCTGGACCCATATCTCTCACCATGAACTAAACTAAAATAGAAATGGATCAGAGATCTAAATATTAAAACAGAAACACAATCTACTAGAAGATAAAATAGGTAAACCGCTTTAAGTCATTAGTATAGGCAAGGACTTTCTGAATAGAATTCCAATTGCACAAGAAATAACAGCATAAATCAACCCATTAACAAGTGAGTTTAGCTCTCGAATTTCACTTTTATTCTTTTTCTTATTTTTTTTTTTTTACCCCCACCTGAGTTTGGGTGACACTCTCGTATTTCTTTGTATGTCTTGTTAATCTTTGGTTAATAACTAGACATTGTATGTCATACACTGTAGTGACTCTCTAGCTCTGTTCTTCTGAAATTGCTAGTTTTACTCTTTTACGCATGAACTTGCTAGTGCTTAAACTGGAAAATCTATTCCTCTGCCAACTCATCAAAGTTTTGCTCAGATTTTTTTTCTTTTGTCTGGATCTCTGGGGATCTCCTTGATACCTATAAGGCTTTATGGTCAGTTGATGATTTGGACATTGGTAATATAGGGACAACTCAAGCCAGAGAACCTTCCACCCTCTGCTGCCCAACCAGGGTATGGGTTGAACAGTTCATTCAGACTTGCAACAAATAAATCCTCCAACTTTTTAAACTTTTCTTATTCTCCCTAGAGCATCCATGCACACTTGTTTAGTAGTCAGCCATGAGTGCTAGAGTAGATCATCTCGGCATTTTATTCAGTGTAGCAGTTTTTCGTAAGTAGTCTAGTGCTTTGCTATTTTTGTAATTGTTGAATTTAATAACTTTGTTCAGTTTGATTCTTTTTGGGGAGAGAAAGAAATCACCCAACTACTTCAGCAGTCATTCGTGGAAGTAGAGTTTTAACCATACATCAAGTCTTTCTATTATTTGCCATTATTTCACTTAACAAAGAAATTCATTAAGTCAAACAAATTAGTTCAAGAAGTAGCCAGCCTCAGGAGTGAAAACTTCTTTTGTGTAAAGTTCAGATTCATCTTCTAGTGTCTACAAAGTGAAGATAAACAGTCAATGAAGTCATCTCATTAAGGTGAGCATGGTTTGTTAACTCAGCTAAGGTCTTTAGAATACATATTATCCATTAGGAAAATTATCCATGTTGGGTACTTTAAATACCCAAAGTTTTATGGGCAAGACAAATTCAACTTAGACCCAGAAAACCTGTGAAAAAAAACATTACTGAGTGTAAATTATCTTCAAACACAGAGTCCATTTTTAAGAAAATTACCTTGAAAGCTGCTAGGCAATGCAGGCTCAGTAAGGCCATCACAACCGCCAGAAAGACAGTGGCCAAGTTCCTCGTGTCCCATATCGTCTCCACCAGAGGAATACTGCCAACCTGCCAGTCATAGCACAGAGTAACAGGTGCAAGCAGAAGCCACACATTGAAGGCCAAGAGGTAGGAATAGGTAAGGAATCTACAATGAGAAGAAGAATCATTGAATACAACTCAGGATTCACAACATTCTGCAAACATTCACTCACCGTGTTTTTGTATAATATTTCTGTCAATATTACTAGAGAAGAGAAGAAGCCATTCATTTATGTATTTACTAAACTGATCATCTGGGAATATATGCAACAGCTTCTAGCCACTGTGTTGGGCCATGGCCTTTGGGCAAACAAATAGAACCTCTATGACATATATTAAAAGTTATCATGCAAATAAATACATTACACCTAGAGATAAATTTTACTTAGATAAAGTTTTATGAAAGCACATGGCAGAAGTGCTAGCATATTTGGGGTATGACTGCACTGGTAGGAAACACTGGAACACTTTCTCAATAGTGCCCGTAATCCTGTAGTACATTTGATGAAGATGAACTGCCATGCACATGGCAAGGCTGGCTCACAGGAGGGAATGCGGCTGGTGCCTAGAGACGAGGGGTGCCAGGTGAACCCAGGAAGGATGACAACAAAAAGGTGTTAATCGTTCTTCCTGGCTGGGACTGGGTGAGAAGGAGAAGTGGAGCTGTCCCTGAGGGTGTGGAAGAAGCTAACTGCACTTAAATTTGTTTAGTCACCACATCCATTAAGCAATGTTCTGGACCCTTGAGAATGACAAAGTCTCAGCTCATGGCCACTGCCCAGACCTCCACACTAGGAAACTAGGAACTCTCCCTGGGCTTCCAGCAGCACGAGACCATCCTCCTGAGGTGAACCCAGTGCCCCCGTTAGAAGAGCTGCTGCCATCACTGCCAGGAGAATCTATCCTGTGCTCTTGTTAACACTAACCATGGACCCTGACTGCCCTTTCCTAGCACATTTATGAAACAGGGATTAGGACTGTCAGCTGTATCTCTTACAACTCAGAAATACCATTCTGAAGGACCCAAGAGCCATTCCTTTAAAATGTAATCACCGGGAAGGCTGGTGTCTGTTCCCCAGGCTCTGTGGGAGCACAGTGGCTTCGCTGGGTTGGCCCAGGCCAGCCCTCTGCAAGTGCTCATTACTCTGCCCTGGGCTGCCCTGCCCGAGCCTCCCCAGTCTCCCCGTAACAGGCCCCAGGGACCTCTGCACCATCAGATCGGCCGTCATAGAGTAAAATCTGTTTTCACCACTTTTAACGCTCAATCAAGTTTGTCTGTGACCCAGTGCATGGCACTGAAGAGAGGAATTAGGCTCTAGAGCCTGAGGTGCAAAGCAGACTGAGAGGGACATCCAGCACGCAGACCCTGGAGAGACGTCCTCCCCATTCGGTAGACTCTTAGGGGTTCTTCGATTGGCAAAGAGGTCAGATAGGAGAGTTTCTCAGTTGCCATCTGCTGTTAAAAATTCAGTCCAGCTTGACTTCCTGTCCTCACGCAGCTACCATCCTGCCAAGCTGACCTAGTTCCCTCCTGGTTCCCTGTCACTGGCTCTGGAGAATCAGTGGCCACCACTGCAGAGACTGCCCTCTGCCTGGATGCTCCGACCCCAGCACGGACTGGGTGAGCTGGTGGGAATAATTCAGCACTGCTGCTCGACACTTTCCCCTCTCTTGTAAATTTTAATAAAATGGTAAAGAGTAAATAGCACCGTATATGCTAAAATGCTGATGAGGGCCAAGTTTGTCATGTAACAGAAACAAGTCTACTTTGCCCTCTCTAGTTTGGGCCTGTGAAGCTGTCTCAGGAGACTGCCTTCCCCACAGAAAACCATGGTGGCACACTGGTAGTCTCTAGCTACACCTTCAGTGAACCACCATCAGGCTTCCACGAGGCCTAGAAAACCACAGCGTCTTTAAATTCCTTAGCTACAACTGCCCTTCAGAACTGCAGCACTCCCCATCTTCTCACAGCTAACGCTAGAGGGACCTGGGCGGTAATGAGTGAAACCTGCCTGACAGCCTCTGTGCCAGGCGACAGCTCGTGAGGACTGCGCCAGGCTCCACAGGTCAGACAGACAGCTGTGTCACTCAGCTGCACCATGGCTCTTGAAAATTACTTAAAAAAATCTCCTTCTTGAAATAATAGACCTAGGCAATGATCACCAATGGCTGCTAAAAATTATTAGGGGAAAAGCTGGTTATGTACTTTCTAATGGGTGGGTCTGGCTGAATCAGATGCCCAGAACTAATAATCAATTTTAACATCACCAAAAAGGAAATAAGAGCCTAATGTACTCCTGCGGAAATACACACACCTATATAGTAGTCTTACTAAAAAACAAAAAACAAAACAAAAAGTGCCACAAGTGATGACACACAGTTGAAATCCCAACTATTGTGAAGGCTGAATCAGGAGGGTCACATGTATGAGGCCAACCCAGGCAACTCAGTGAGACCCTGTCCCAAAATAAAAAATAAAAATGAGTGAAGATGCGCTTCAGCAGAAGAGTGCTTACCTCGCATGCATGGCCTCCCATGTTCAAGCCCGGGTACCACAACCCCCATAAATAAAACCAAAATTCTGAACTGGATCAAGTCCTAAAACCACAATCCAGGGAACAATGGACCACATCACATGACACCGCAGGGAAGCGATATGCAAACTCCAGAGTGTGGGAACCACCAGAACAAGTGACCCAGTTTCCTAAACAAGTCTCTTACAATAGGGTGGGAGCATCTATAAGACATCAAACAAGTACAGGTTGCACTTAGATCCTAATTCAATCACATTATTATGAAAACTAATCATTTATGACATAACTGGAAAAATCCCATAATGCTGACTTGACAACACAACTGGCTAGAGAGAAACATCGTGAATGTTTTAAGTGTGATCCTGGTATTTTGGTAATAATTTTTAACAGATCCTGGCTTTTGGAAATATATCATAACATCTATATATATAAAATAAGTTTATGTCTTGATTTCATCAGAAAAAGACTTCAGATTTGCTTCAAAATGATGGTGGTGAAGGAGAAGACGACTGCACATGGACGCAACAGAAGGGCTACACCTATGACTTCCGACACTGTAAGTAGGGGGGTTCTTTATGCCACCTTCTCTACTCTTACACATATTTCACATTTTATATAATAAAACCTTAAGCGAGGGGAAAAGGCAACAGAATTGCAAAAACAGCATTTTCTTAGCTTATATCTAATTGCAGCTTGACCAAGCTCATAATAATTTCTTAATTTTAGTTTTACATTTTGGCTTTGCCCTACAGTTTGTCTCCTCAGTTTCATACGTTTCCTAAACTTGCAATGTTGTATTAAGAAAAAAGAAAAATAAAGATTAATATTTTTGAATGCTATAACTGCAATGTGTTTAGATATTTCTAAAACAAATCATTGCAACTTTTTACAAAGACTGTAACCTAAGTAGGTTTAAAAAGTAAAATAAACCAGAGAACTAAAAGCAACTTCCCTTCCCTACACCACCAGGAAGGTCAATACTGTTACCTTGCCCAATGTTTCTTTTGAATATATTTGCATTATCTTTGGAAGCTCAGAGATGCTCCCTATGTTCCAGTGCATATATAGATTGGCTCATGCTGTTAATGCAGTCATTAAGTACTATCTGAAATACTTATGTAGCACTGGAATTTTCCTGCAAATCTAAGCACGAAGAAGACATTTGGAGTCACTCCAAAAGCTAATTACACTCTGGGGAAGGCCATTTGAGCTAGCTGTAATCAACAACTATAGTACTTTTTTTTAACACCACCTTGACAATGAATTACATTTAAGCTAATCATGTTTATTTCTTCTACAATTTGAGAACTAAAGAATCAGTGGAAAGTGTCTCTGCCTTGCCGAGCTCTGTTTTTAAAGCAAGAGCAAAAATAAAATGAATTATTTAGTAATTTTCTACTATAAATTTTGCCAACAGCAAGAAAACCACTTGAATATCTTGCCAACAAAGTGGAATATACAGCACAGAGAGCCAGGAATTCTACTTAAACAGTTTAGTCAAGCGCTTTCACTGATAAGCAGCTTCGTAAGAGAAACCAATGACCTGGCAAGCGCAAGGTCGTGAGTTCGGTTCCCGGTACCAGAGAAAAAGCAAAAAAAAAAAGAGAAACCAATGAAATAGAAGTGGTGGCTGTGGAGGAGATGGAGTCTGTCCAATAGCACTCAATAAAACCAGCTCTAGTCAAAATCTTCATTGTTATCAAGAAAAAAGAGTGTTTTACATGCAAAATATACAGATTCTGTTTTTTGCCTTTGGGAAAACCTTGCTACTAAGAACTCACAGAAACCTAACATATTTCCTTCTGCTAGATCGATGTATGTGCCAGGTACCAATGACAACACCATGCACTGCAAACAGTTCTTGTTATCTTCCACAAAAAAGGAGCTTTCTTTCTCTTCCACTTTGAGAATCCTTTACTGATTCAGGAAGACAAGACCTGGGTCCACGCAACACACCTGTCTGCCCTTGGAGGGCATCTGCAACACAGTTGCTGCACCAGCCTCAGCCGGAGATGCTTCTGAGTCTAGAACAGAGCACTCTGCACTGCCCCAGCGCTGTCTCCACCTGCTGGGCTTGGGTGGTCTGTTCTGCCCCTCCCCAGGAAGTCGCCCATTTGCATTCTCACAACTCCTAACTGACCACCTCTGCCTCAAAGCCTCTCTGCAGCCTCCCTGTGCTCTAGCAATGATGCCACTACGCAGCATTCTCTGCTTATTACTTTTAGCAGCACCTCCTTTCCTTGCTATAAACTTCTCCAAGAACTGCCAAACAAAGCCATTTCCAGCATGACCCTTCTCAAAGCACAGGAAATCTTTGCTGGGATTTCTAAGTGTTGATAAGTATTCTGTAGACCTTCCTAGATGCTCAAGGGTATCTCACCCCTGCTCCTCACAAAGGGTATTTTCATTGCACTGGGGGTGAGGACACATACGTTACGTGATGGAGTGTAGTACTGTCTTAGTCACTTTTCTTCATCACTGAGACAAAATACCCAACATTGGCAATTTAAAGGAGGAGAGGTTTGCCTAGGAAACCTGGGGTCACAGTTTCAGAAGTTTCAGTCCATGTTCA